TGGCGTGACGAACGCAAGTTGGTTTCTTGGCTGGACCAGCTTGTAGCACTGTTATTTGGTAATAACCCAGCTGTTTGCTACCCCCTGGAGTTACAGCAGTAGTTGGAGTTGTGCTGGCTGGCAAGCTCCGAGGATGTTATTGCCCACAAACAAGCTCCAGCTCATGGACTTCCCGTTTATACTCAGTCGCGCCGTCCCCCCAACGGCCGACTTGTCCCGACGTCTAGATAGACCACTGCTGTCCAGCAGCCAGCCGACAGCTTCGATAGCTCCTTAGATACGTATGCAGCAGGGAAGCTGCTACGACCAAACCACAACAATGGGTACTCTGCAGGCAGAGCAGGGACCTGCTCCCTGCTCCTCCTGCTACCATCACTGTGTGACTGATCGCACAGAACCAGCAGTAGCAGCTCAGCAGTAGTAGTACACCTAGACTACCCGAGCTGTNAAACAAGCTCCAGCTCATGGACTTCCCGTTTATACTCAGTCGCGCCGTCCCCCCAACGGCCGACTTGTCCCGACGTCTAGATAGACCACTGCTGTCCAGCAGCCAGCCGACAGCTTCGATAGCTCCTTAGATACGTATGCAGCAGGGAAGCTGCTACGACCAAACCACAACAATGGGTACTCTGCAGGCAGAGCAGGGACCTGCTCCCTGCTCCTCCTGCTACCATCACTGTGTGACTGATCGCACAGAACCAGCAGTAGCAGCTCAGCAGTAGTAGTACACCTAGACTACCCGAGCTGTACCCGAGGGAACAGCTCCTGAGCGTACTGTACTAACGAACCAACCAGCGTAGAGCAAACGCGGCGCGTTGTGCTCCGATGGATGCCGGGCTACAGCAATCCTGTCCCCTTACTGTTCTCACATATGTACGGCCATTATCTTCTTTAACTCCCTTCTCAAAATATTGGAACCACGCCGTTCATTTCTTCCTACAGTATATGTTGCTGGGGTTGGGTGGTGAAGGGCCCTCTTTTGAAGCGACAGCAGTGCTGCCCGTGCGTAAAAGAAAATAAAGTATTCCACACTTGTTGTTGTTGTTGTTGTTGTTGTCTTCACATTAAAAACCATCCCGGTCTCTCTATCCAGTACCTCCTTCTGTCTCAATCTCTCCGTACTAATCCATCACTTGACTCGGCCAATTTCCGTGGTCACAGGCTAACGTACCTAGAAAAGGTATACCAAAATAAAATGGACCCCAAGGGTCAGCAGAGCGATAAAATACAAGAAAACAAAATATAATCAGAAACAAATAAAATAAAAATAAAATAAATAATTAGACTAGTGGAACGGCCGCACCACCAGCCTGGGGGGGTAGCCTCCCACTACATGGAGGCAGGTCGACGGCCAAAGGAAGGGGCGGGGGTACGTGCCAGTAAAAAACAAAACAAAAGACAAAATAAAACAGAATAAAGCAAAGACGAGGACACAAACAAACTCGCACAGAGACAGGGATATCCCTAGAGACAGTCTGAACGCGACAGCAAACGGGGGAGAGGGCAACAGAAAAATTAGTCGTTGAAATTCGACCGCAACATGTCACGTCACGCGGTCGGTCTCTTCTCGCTTGCTTTCTTCCCGCCGCGCCGTTTCCTTCCGCCCCCCTACCGCCCCGTTGATTGGTGCCGTATCTAGACTATTTTTGGGCCCGCTGTCTCCTCGTTTGATGGCTCGTTGTCGGCTGGCCTCCTCCTTGCCCTTGTGCCAAGAGGCCATGAACCTCTCAGCTCCCTGTAGCACCCCCGCGTGCCACGGTACCCCCCCCTCCACCTTCGCCGCCTCACTCCAGACTAACTTCGGGACTCCGAAGACGCTCGGCTTGTCGGTCGTGGAGCCGTACCTGGCTTCGAACATCTTCATGTCGTCCTTCAGGCATGTCAGCCAGTTCTGCTCCGGGTTTCCCTGGCCCGGGTCCTCCCCTCCCACCAACTCGCCGAACATCAGCCGTTTCGGAAGCCGCCCGTCCGGCTGTCTTGCCACGGCCCCCGCAAAGAGCAGGCGCCGTTGACGGACAGTGGCCTCCACGCTCTGGCAGCCGACCCTCTTTAGCGCCTGGGCGTATGACAGCTGCCGGTAGGTGCCTCGTTTGCGCCGGTAGCCGATGACTCGCAGGAGTAGCCGGTGGTGTGTCGTCTGCAGCATTCCGTAGTGGTTGCGGCGTGGGGACCATGTCATGCAGCCGTATAGCAGTGCCTCCACTGCCTCCGCCTGGAGCAGGCGGGCTTTGAGGCGAAACGGTGCTCCCGGTCGGTCGAAGAGCTCCGTGGCGTATCGCTTAATGCACGCCCACGCTGCTTTGCTCCTGTGGTTGATCTCTCGGGTAAGGTCGCCCTGCTCGTTGACGAGGCCGCCCAGGTATCGGAACTCGGTCGTCTGTGCGTACCTTTGCCCCGCTGCTTCGATGGTCAGCACCGGCGGTGGCGGCGGCGGCGGTCGCTGTCTCTCCTTCACCCGCATCACCAGGGTCTCCGTCTTCCTCTCCGACACCGTCAGCCCGAACTCCCGGAACACCTCCACGATAATGGTCATCATCCTCGCCAGGCCGTCGGCGGACTTCGACACAACGCCGGCATCGTCGGCATATAGCATCCCCCACACCGCCCTCCGGACTCGGTCCAGCAATCCCTCCCCCCTCCGTTCCTCCTCCTTCAAGTACACTAGGTCCCGCACGATAACCTCATCTTGGCTGAACCGTGTGACAATGATCTCGAGAGGCGCTGCGAAGAAGACGTTGAACAGCAGTGGGGACATTGAGCACCCTTGTCGTAATCCCTGCGTGACCGGGAACCAGTCCGATAGCTCCCCATCGTCCGTGCGGACCCGGGCCCGCATTCCGACGTGGAACTTGCGGATGACGGCGATCATCTCCCCGGGGATCCCGGCCCGGGCCAGCACCTTCCACAGTAGCTCCCGGTCCACCGAGTCATATGCCTTCTGCAGATCGATGAAGCACATGTAGAGCGGGATTCTCCTCCTCCGCCCCAGCTCCTGGAGTCGGCGCACAACGAACAGCATGCATACCGTGGATCGGCCAGGCCGGAACCCGCACTGTTCCTCCGGGAGGATTTCGTTGGCTTCGCAGAATGCGCTCAGGCGGTTGGTGATGGTCTTGGCGAGTACTTTGCCTACATGCGAGAGCAGCGAGATGCCCCTGTAGTTGTTGCAGTTCGAACGGTCACCCTTCTTGTGCAGCACCTTAATGATGGCATCCTTCCACTCCTGCGGCATCTCTCCCCCATTCCACACTTCGACGAAGATGGCACGGAGGCGCTCCAGTACAACTGGCTCGTCGTCGCCGTCGACCTTGAGCAGTTCGGCGGCAAGGAGGTCGGGACCAACCGCCTTCCAGTTCCCCAGGCCTTTCGTCGCCGCCTCAACCTCCTCGAGGTCTGGTACCGCCGCCAGGTGTCGGGTGGCGCGCGTCGCTGGTCGCTGCATCACCTGTTCGACAACGTCTGGGTTCAGAGTGGGGGACTTGGAGTTCAGGAGGGTATTGAAGAATCTCCGCCACCGCTTGAGGATGGCATCCTTGTTCCGGAGTAGCACGCCGTTCTCGTCTGTAACGAACTGCTGCCCCCCAGCTTGTCTCCCGCTGAGGCCCGTTGACCGCTTGAGGTGTTGGTACAGCCCCCGCATGTCGCGGTCCTGGTAGATCGCTTCGAGCTCCGTCACGTATCTTTCCAGGTGGTCGTAGATGCTCGTTGCGATTGTTGCCTTCACCCCCTTGCACGTTGCTTTGAGGATCCTCCACGTTGCTGCGTTCGGTCCGGCCTTGAAGGAATGTCGCGCAGCCCGTCGCTTGTCAAGGGCGGTCGCCAGGGCTGTCCGTGCCGCGGTGGTCATGTTCCATTCCGTGGTGCGCCGCCTCCGGGGTTCCTCAGACAGCTCCGTCTCCGCCGCGCCGAGCAGGGCCTCCGTGAACTCCTTCGCCATTTCCTGCGTGGTGGTCGCCGGCGCGCCCGACCTCGCGAGCAGGTTGCAGAGAAACCGTTGGGATACAGCCCATCGCGCTGCCTCGACCTGCAGATCTTGTCGGTTGAACTGCCGCCGTTTGGGGTTGGTCCGGATAGGTCGGTTGTGGGCCAGCCGGCCACCGAGGTCGACGGTGGCTACTACGATGTTGTGGTCTGAGTCCGCTCTGACTGGGCGCACTGGCTGAGGTACGACCTCCATGTTGGACACTCGGTCGCGGTGTGCTTGGCGCGTCAGGATGTAATCGAGGCACCTACGTTCGCGTCCCGACGGGCCGTTGAACGTATGCCATATCCCGCCCCTCCGTGTGTCGAAGAAGGTGTTGAGGACCGCTAATCTGTTGTCCGTGGCGAAAGTCAGCAGCAGCTCACCATTTTCGTTCAGCTCATTGCGCCCGTACTCGCCCATGGTTCCTTCGTTTTCCCCTGCTATCCCTCCTCCGGTCTGGGCATTGGCATCCATGAGCACGAAAAGATACTCCTTAGCGGGGATACGACGCACGAGACTGTCAAGTTTTTCCCAGAACATGTGTTTGCTCTCGGTGGTGGCCACGTCTGTTGGGGCATACGCAGCCACGAAGGTCACCGCTCCGCGGTGGCCCATCATCTCAAACCTCATAGCCATGAGGCGCTCGTCCACGTACTCCGTGGTGTACTGGGAGGATTTGCACAGCGTCTCCTCCACAGCGATTCCGACGCCATGCGTACCACCCTTGTCCGTGCCACAGGTGAACACCCGAAAACCGGATGCTGCGAACTCCGTTCGCCCTGGTCTCCTGACCTCCTGCAGACCGACAAACGAAATGCCCTGTTTCGCTGCCTCGTGTAAGACGCTGTCGGCTCTCCCATAGCCGTTGGCCCCGTTCACGGCCAGTGTACGCACATTGTAGGTTGCTACCCTAACAAGTCGACCCTGCCGCCTCTGCCGGGCGGTGCGTGCTGCATCCCTAATCAGCCTACGCACCTTCCGGCCCCTCCTCCTCTTCTTCCTTCCTTTTTTTATTTTCTTTATTTTTATTGCTCTGCGGATCCTCGGGTTAATGTAAGAGTTAACCCGGTGCTTGCCTTTCCCAGCGAGGTGTCTTCCTGTCCCGGAGCGGCGTGGCTCTCCAGCTCTGGACCCTTTCCGTCCCCCTGTTGGGTGCTTACCCACACGGTGTGCGATCATCCCGCCACCCTCTCCGTGCTCTCCACCGCTGCCTTGCCCCGGTGTCCAAACCGGGGCATTTGGGTTCAAACCCATCGGCAGCTGTCTCCAAGTTGGCTTATCACGACCTACCTCGATCTCGTGACCGCGGTAACTCCCGACCGCCAAACTCAGGATCCTCTCCTACACGGTGCTAGGGACCGTATATCCGTCGTTGTTGGGTGGTTTTTTCGAGGGTTAACTGCACTTGCGGGCCTCGGCCTCCCCCGGGGAGGGGAGGAGGGGGGAGGCGGAGAGATTCTGCTGTATATATATGAAAAATATGGCCTCCAACGGGAACGAATCCCCCTCCCTGGAAACCCCGTGTCAAGTATGCGGCGAGTTCCGTATATGACACAAGATAACACACCTCCTTGACCAATTTTCGGAGCTCGATTTCTCAACTGCAGGAACAGTCACAGCGCCGAAAATGGCGGGGTTGAAACCGTCTCGTCGAGAGCTTTTCGAAAATGTATCGTCTCGTTTATGCATTCTCTTCGCCGTGGAGTAATCGAGCTTTGAAAATCGGTCCAAGGGGTGTGTTATCTTGTGTCATATACGGTAGGCTTACAGTTGAGGCTCGCACTTAAGAATCTCCTATTCTGAGCGAGGCTCAGTTCTTATTGGCTGCCCCAACCCGAGCACGTGTTCTTATTGGTCATGTTCTTATTTCGCCGTCCCATTTTTCTCCAGCGAAATGTTCTTGTTCTTATTTCAACACCAATTGGCCCTGTTGGCGTACGTTGTATGACGACGAACATTGTTGGCGGCTGTCAACTGTACTCGGCGGAGTGTTTAGACGATAGTCTTTAGCATGAGGAACAATGCTGTTGTTTGGTACAAGAACACACCTAGGCATGCAGCAGCAACTAACTGTCAACCATCTTGGTCCACAAGGGTGATGTTGGTCCTGCGTACCCTCCCCGATCTACTAACGCTCTCAAGCAAAACCCAAGAGACTACCGCCGCATCCAGATCTCCGGTGTACTTGTCTAAGGGCAGCTTCATCTTGCGCGTACTCTGGTCTAGCTCCAGCTGCACACAGTAGTCGTACATGGTGGCGAGTGTCCTGCTGAGATTGCTGAATGATCAACCCTTCAAACCACCCCATCCCCAGCCTAAAGAGCACTCCACGTCGGAAACAGCACATCAGCAAAATCCAAGTAAATATCAACGTGGACATCGTCCTCAACAAGGAAATGACAAAGATTGGGTCTAGTGCAAATCAAACTTACCGCCGTCGTCTTCATCATCGCTGGAATCAGCGCCCTCCACGATCGTCTCACGTCCATCGCCCTCCTTCCCCCGCCCCTCAGGCTCATCGCTGCCGTTCTCCAAACCCTCTTCGTCCTCGCTGCAGTCTTCACCGTTTGCGAAGGTGCACGGCTTGTCCAAACCCTCCAAGGTGATCCGATCATCGCCTGAGCCGTCCACAGTCATGGCCATCCCGCACTTTTCGAAAAGGCGGAATCGGAACGCCTGTTGGCTGTTGAGTCTTGCCATGGCCGCTCCCATCCACTGAGTGATCAGTACCCGCCGATCAGAAGCTGTCAGCGCCGTGGTTTCCCACCTCTCGAGGTTGTTCGACTGCTCGAGCCACATGTCCATCTTCCTCCCAGCTTCCACCTTGATAAATCGTCCGGCTCCTGCATCAACTGGCTGCACGTCGTCCTTGCACTCCGAAGGGCCACACCAGGCGAGAGTGTTGCACTCCTTCGCAAGATACTCCTTGAACTCGTCCGTCGTCTGCGCGTGCATGTTGTCCATGATAAGAATGGACCTCGCCTTGGGAAGCTCACCCCGCCCGCCCATCAGGCCTTCGCGTTAGGACCTCTTAGCCCACTCCATACAAAACTTATGGTCGGCCCAAGCATTCTCCTGGAAAAACACGTCCACGGCCTTGTGGTACGCGGCCTTGCCGGACATGCTACCACAGCTTTCCGGGAACCTGAGGTATATTTCTTCTTTTAGCGTAGCGTGGGAGTACGCTTGCTTCACATCCCAGTGAGCGAGTTTCGCCCTTTTCAGTGGCTACGGCAATCACCGTCTTGATAGACGCTACAGACGGGCACGCTGAGGATGAGTGGTGGAAGTCGATGCCGGGGATTTGAGAGAAACCCCGCGCAACCATACGGGCCTTGAAGTCGACTATCAGGCCCTTCTCATTCGTCTTCCAAGAGAACACCCACTTTGAACCTATGGCTTTCCGCCCCTGGGGCAGCTCCTTGACCTTGGTAAAGGTTCCAGTCTTGTCGTGGCCATCTATCTCTTCTTCATGGCCGCCTCCCATAAAACCTTACACTTGGAACACATCACATCCTTGTACGTCATCGGTACTGCTTTCACGTCACTCGGCTTCTGCCCGATTGAAGAGGTCATACTTAGCTGTGGGTCTGGGAGTGGTTGCGAAGACCCGCTGGCGTCGACCTCGGCCCCGAACGCCTGCTGTTCCGGGCCCAACACCTCCTGCATCTCGCGCCTGTACATCTCCTCCATACGGCGTGTCTGCTCCTCGTCCCACTGCTCCTTCACAAGCGAGTTGCAGATGTAGTCCTCAACAATCCCCGCCCCGCCAGTTTCCAGGATGGTCGCCAGCAATGCCTCTTTCGGGACCGGTGTTTCTCCGGGCCCTGACATCTCCCCGGCACCTTGCATCTCCCGGGTCTGATACCGCGTGCGGCCACTCTCAAGCCCATGGCGCAGCGGGCCAGCGTTCGAGGCGCCCCAGAGGAGTTTCTTCCCTTCTAGCCCGCGGGGGTAGCGGTCGTCGGCTGGATCATACTTCAACTCCTCGAGGTTCTCGGAGTCGCCGGGATCACCATCGCTACCGCCGGTCCCACCTGGGTCGCCGGACTCTTCGCCGCCCGGGCCGCCGGCACCGCCGGCGTCACTGCTGCTGCTGCTCGGGCTGTTGCTCGGGCTGCTGCTGCTGTCGGTGGGGCGGCCACTGCCTCCGCCGAAGTCGCCCCTTCCCGAAGGGGGCGACGGGGGAACGCTGCCTCCGTCCCCCGGAATCCCGTTGCCGGGTGCCGTCGGCGCCTCCTCGCGCACAAACGGCGTCGCTTGCCCTGGCCCACGAGCCTCCATCACGTCGAGGATGGACTCACTCTCTGAGTCTCTCTCCCCCCTCCAACCTTGGCATGATGCATCCGCTCTACTCTCGCCCTCCCCGCCCTCCTCGTCATCTGCGAGAGGTAGCAGCTGCGGGGGAGCGGGCGATGCAGCGGGCACGTGGCGCCAGGTGAAATTGCGGGTGGTGATTACGGTTCCAGCTTCGGTTAGCATGCGAACGCAGTCACGGGGGTGATTGTGGGCAGGACCAAGGTACCATCCTTTTTCGCCCTTGGGTTGCGACTTTGCTTTTCTTCTCGACTTGAACACGGCTGGTTTGAGAAACGGGTATGTAGACCCGACAGGCGGTGGGGAGTCGTGGAACATCTCGTAGGCGGATTTGTCTCCCTCGTTTGATTTAGTGGCGGTGCAGTTCAGCTGATGGCATGCACACGACATGGCCTCGGCCCACAACCCGGGGTGGTTCGGTGCGTCGGAGAACAGTTGCGTCGCTTGGATGCGTGACGCAAGCGCGGCATCAATGATCAA